CTTCTCCTCAAGTTTGGCACGTTACTTCTGGGACACCCTGTATGTATATGTGAATTTTCGTGATGTCTGCAAGCTGGGACTTGACTAAAATATTAGAGAGAATTGAAATGGAGCTATTCTATTGCATTTCATGATCGCTTGATATTACTCATTTTATGCCCACAGTACCGAAAAAACAGGTATGTAGAAAAAATATGTAAATTATATTAGGGTGGGCCGGCAGTGTATATTTTAAATAAACCTTTGGTTATAAATACATACATACACATGTATGTAATATCAATCGAATGTAAATATGCAGTACGATTTTCCGACCACTTATAAGAAATGTTTTGAACTACATAATAATGAGCCCATACTCTGAATGCCATAAATATGTATCAATGAAACTTTATTTTATGACCATTTACAATTCCTGCTTAAAACTTTTTAAACTAAATCGCATTGGAAAAATTTGGGAATTTGAAATCGAATACAACTGATTTGATTTATAAAGTAAATATATTAATACGTAAATATGCGTACAAATGAATGTGTTTTCCTTCAAACTCTATATATAATATGGCGGTGGAAAACTTTGAAGTTTTGGGCAAAATTTACAAGGATTAAAGTAATATTAAATTAAAAAAAAAACTCAGGAGTTGAAATTATGATTCGTTTTGATAGGTGTGCCTTTTTAAAATACGATACTGCAGATCCAAAGGAGCGTATGAGTGAAATAGTACACAGAAAAAAAAGTACTCTTCAAGAAAATATGAATGTAGTTTTCTCAATCTAGGAACGAAAATCTTATTCATAATTTCAATAGAGAATAATTGTATACTTTCTCAGGGCAAACCAGAGACCGTAAATAAAATTTACATAAGCATATTAAAATTTTGAAATTAAAAACCAAGGTGTCGATAAAAATCATAGTCACTGTTTCCATTTTTCCGAAATAAAATGCTTAATCTTGCTTTGAGTCAATATATTTACTAATTTTACTAATTTTTCCGACACATGAACTTTTCTTTCAAAGTTTATACTGCTGGCAAATGTAAATAGGGATTAAAATTTAAAAGCTAATTAATGCAGCTAAAGTAAAGTCTGTGGAAAATTAACAATAAAATACTCTTTTCGCAAAATCTATAAAGTACCCTTTTGTTTCTCAAAAAAACCTAGGTGGCAGTTATTCCATTCCAGGACATTTCCAAAAAAGTTTAAGTGCACCTTAAAATTACCAGAATCGAAACGGTAATAGCCCGAGGTACGCACTTTAAGTTTTTTTACTATAATATGTAGCATATTTTAAGTGCAATGAATTATTTAGAAAAGGGCGGCATTTATTTTTTATAGATCCTTCTTTTTCATAATAAATACTAAACATTTTTTTGTAGATAGGCTCCTCTGGTCCTAATGGCCTCACATGTAAAATGAATTTGTTTAGTTTTCTTTTAACAAAACTATTTATAGTACCCATGTCTTATTTATGGCAAATAAACGAGGTTTGTTTTTACAGTTTATTGTATAATAAAACGTAGTTTTTTACTTGGCAACTTTTAGAATTTACGCGTTTCCATGAAGACCGAAAGTATATTTTCTTTCTTATTATATATATATATATAGCCCTTCGCCTTTCGAGATTCGTATGAAAACGCGTCCGCGCGCTTTCTTTACTAATTTTTTTTTCTATTCCTTGATTATTTAATTATATGCATCGGCATTTTCTTACTCTGACATGTCAACTGACAACTTTATGAAATATTCTTCTTGGTTGTATTAAAAGTTGCTTTTAGCGAAGGAACTAAGACTGCCAACGAATATTATATATGCATTTCTTAGTACGTATGAGTGTATGTAGTTGCAACCATACATACAAATGTATGCATTTCGAAGCTAAAGGGTTCAAAATAGATTTGTTCAGCCATTTTTATGACTCGCTTTGTAGCATTGTTGAAAATTAAGCAATGAATAAACGCAGACTGTCTTTTCTCTTAAATGAATTGTCACCAATTTAGACAATGGTAAAAAGATTTGCAAGTGTTATCTGAAGATCACTTATTTCCTGATGTCGATTTCCCTATAAAAGCGCGTCTGCTATGTTGTAAAACCATCAATTGTGCTCCGTTCTCGAACTCGAAATCATCAAGGCATCGAAAAATGTTGCCCAGGAATTGCTTCGTGCTTCGTAAGTTCTTAAGTAGTGGTACATATGTATATGATTTTCCTACTAACTTTTTGAATTCCAGTTTTTGGAGTTGTTCTATTAATCACTATAGCTATGACTCAAGCCCAGCCCCCAATTGGGGGACCCACGCCCCCAACTAGGAGACCAACGCCACCAACTAGGAGACCAACGCCCCCAACCATGAGACCAACGCCTCCAACTAGGAGACCAACGCCCCCAACCAGGAGACCTACGCCTCCAACTAGGAGACCAACGCGCCCAACTAGAAGACCCACGCCACCAATTATAACCACATAGTAGTATACATAAAAAAAATTTAATTTTCTAAGAGCCAATTTGCGCCATAAATATGTTTAATTAATACCTATACAAAATAGTTTTGCTTGTAATAAAATTACGTGATTTTATATGCAACTTACTTTGTTTTAATTACAGTGGCAAATTTGTTTAAATACCTGGTCAAAAGTCGACAACTGGTGAAATTTTAGCTAAGCTTTGTTTAGTCATGTTTTGGGTTGTTTATTTTAAATTTCGCCACATAATTTCGAAATTTATGGAAATTGAGGATCCTAATGGAGGCTGTATACGCTTAAAATAATCCCATTTTTAGCTAAACTAGTATAGTGAAGTATTACTAGTCACCATGATACAATAATTTTTAGAAGGTAGTTTCATTTCTTCTTCTTATCCGCCATGTTAGCTATCTGGCAGAAAACGTGTTTTATATTTTTTGTTGCACCAACTTTTTCAAAAAAAAAAATCCAGCTTCTGACGTTGGAAAAATAAAACAAAGAAAAGCCAAACATATAAGTAGAGAAATTTTCGAATATCTTGTAATAATTTTCTTCATAAAAAATTAACTGCTGCTTTTGTGGATATTGCAACGCACGGAATAGATGTAAGGACACAGCTATAAGAGCCACCGCACACCACAGACTTTATCGGCCGCCTATTTAAATGATAGGGCTCGCTTGAAATATGTACATGAAGATGTATGGAGGTGCGCACATTACACCACCTTAATCACTCTGACCAATAAGTTGTGGTGCAATGGAAAGACTAGCGAGCACATCTAAATTGGCGGCCGATAAAGTCCGTGGTGTGCGATGGTCTAATCCATTATAAACAAGAAATATTGCTGTTATATTTTCATTTTTATGATTTCATTCATGTGATTAGCAGTGGCAAAAATGTATGTATAAATATACGTATATTTATATTAAAAATTAAGTGAACAGTTATGAAACATATACATCTTTACATGTTCTGTTAAAAAATATCTAAAATAACAAGCGATAATCCCCAAGTTCTATATCGTAGCGGGTGGCCACATTGCGTGTTTGTCACAGACACGGTTTATGTCAAAAATTTTGAAGTGAAACTACCTTCTAAAAAATATTGTATCATGACTAGCACCATTAATATGTTTTCTTTTTTATACCCGAGCGCACTTGTGCACAAGGGTATTATAAGTTTGTTCATATAACAGTTGCTTGTAACAGGCAATACGAATCGAGATAGATATAGACATATGTATACATAAATGATCAGAATGAAAAGAGAAATCGATTAAACGGTGACTGTCTGTCCGTCCGTCCATCCGTCCGTCCGTGTACACGATAACTCGAGTAAAAATTTAGATATCTTGACGAAACTCGGTACGTGCGCTTCTTTTGGGCGTAGGACGGATGGAATTGAAAATGGGCAAAATCGGACAATAACCACGCCTACCTCCCATATAACGGTAATTTTCAGAAATACGAAATGCAATATTTTAGTAACTACTGAAGATAATTCACTCAAAATTGATATTTACAATGGGCGGAGCCACGCCCACTTAGGATTACATGAGCATATCTTGGTAACCGCTCCACCAATTTTCTCCACAATTGGCACAGTTGTTAGCCTGGCTACAGCATACTAAAGGGCAGAAAACTTTTAAAATCGGACAATAACCACGCCCACATCCCATATAACGGTAATTTGGATAAATACACAATCTTCGATAAATCAGTAAATATTAAAGCAAATTTATTCTAAATTGATGCTTCCAACAATTCTTTACCAAGAAATACGTTTATTATAAAATTTTGGAAAATGGGCGTGGCACCGCCCACCTATGATCACATATATATATCTCGGTAACGTTTCTACCAATTTGTACCAAACTCGGTACGGTTATTGTGCTTGCCACATAAATTCAAAGCGTTGAAAATTTTTGAAATCGGCCTAAAATTACGACCACTTTTCATATAAAGGCAAATTTCAGAAATGCTTGAAACTTCAATATTTCGAAATTTAAGGACGCTAATTTACTCAAAATTGATACACCCCGGCTTACCATGTAGCGGTAGCTTTCGGAAAGGTGTAAATCATATATTTAATCTCTTAAGCGGGTTTCACTGTAGTTTTACTTTAACCTTTAATTTGATAAATTTCAACTGTTAACACTTGAAGTCAGATATCAGTTTAACAGAAAGCTAATAAAGTGTAAAACTTGATTAATAATTTGCAAAGAAAAATTTCATTATCCAAAGAGTGACGTGTGAGCTAACGACGCCGCCCACCTCACTGAGTTGATGGATTCGATTTCCGTTTTTAGAGAAACTTTGTCAAAATATTTCCTGCATAGCGGCTTTCTCGAATGTAGTTAATAGAATGTTAAGGTCCATTTTATGCGTTGATGGCATTATTATGTCCGAAAAAAAACTCTTGTAGGTGGGGACGGGTGGGACAGTATTTTGTGACGGGTGGTCGAGTCACTATTGAGGACACATAGTTCGTAAGTAAAATGAACACTACTGATTTGTGTAATTTTGATTGATTTGGTGTAATTTTTTGTTTTTGTGTATTTAGGCCCGCGTTCAAAATGCTCGCCTATAAAAATTAGTTTAATGGTCAGTACTGGTTAGTTCTAACTACTAATATCATAAATGCGAAAATGTGTTGGTGTGTTTGTTACGCTTTCACGCTTTAATAATTCAGCTTGATTTTGCAATATGGATGAAAGACGAAAGAAGTTTTTAGTTCGAAAACATTTTGAAGAGGGTTAATAAAGAAATAAATTACACCTGAACCAACGTAACTTTAATCTTCCCTTGCAATGGTAAAATTTTTATTTTGTACAATATTCTTTATTCAACAGGAGAGCGTGGCGCTTTTAGTCAAATATTTTTTTTTCCTGCAATATATTCTTAAAAAGAAGTGATGGACTGTCACACAGAAATTAATGATATAACCAAACATTTATTTGTTTTTTATAATTATTAAAAGCAAAAGTTCAATTTAAACGTAAATATTTGTACGTATGTAGTATAGTTTTGGGCATACAATCGTTTAAATTTAGATAAATGTGAAATTTTAAGGAGTTTTTTAGAGTTGTTTATTACAATCTTTTATTAAGTTTCACCTGCAATGCAGCCAACTTTTAACAAGTTTCCCGATGAGCTAGAGCCTTGAAACTTCAAACTTAGCTTATGACCCGATGACAATGCAATATGAAAGAGGAATCCGCTAGGTGGCGCAGGTATCGATTTGAAGAAAAACCCGTATTTATGGTCCGATATGGTTCATATTTTTATATTAGTTTAATGGAATGACATAACTCCACAACAACTTCAGCCGGTGCTGGGGTCGACTTTTCTGTTTTTTATTAACCATTAATAATTTGCTTACATTTTTTAATTACTTGTATTATTTTATTTAATTTTTTTTTTAGTTGATAAGTGTAAAATATAATATATCAGCGCAAAGGTAAAGAAATTTAGAGTTCGAAAATATACAACACAAATAGATTTGCCTTACAACCCCCAGATTTTTAGCAGAATATTTTTTGAAGACCCAAAATTACCTGCCGTTATAACAGGAATCCATAAAAGTAAGACAAATATGGTTTGAACCCCTGGCATCCCACGTCTCATACATTGCATAAAATCTGAATGAATGATGCCATTGTAATGAAACACGCATTCCTACGCATTGAAAAGCTTTATGAGAAAGCAGCGGAAGCGCGCAAATTAAAAAAAAAAAAAACAATTTTAGAGAATCCGATAATAAACATATTTAGAATCGGTTACTTGTGAGTTCAAATCCTTTGAACAATAACTTAAATGAATTATTACAAAATGTAGGCAAGTCAAACAAAATATGTTTAAATAGTGTTTAAGTCGAAAATATATTTAAAAATGGTAAACATCTGTTTAAAAATCTAATTAAATTTTAATCAGTTACTTTAATGCAATATAAAGGTAAAACCCGTATCTTTCAAACAGAGAATACATTTTTAATTCGATCAAAAAACAACAAAGCTATAACTTCATGAAGCTGTAATTTGAAGAATACCAAGTAATAAACGAAGTGATAACTCCTGCATATTTGTTTTGTGTACCTTTGTATCGCTGTGTTATGAACCTAATTATATGCATTGGCTTTTTCTTACTTTGACATGTCAACTGACAACTTCATGAGATACTCTTATTGCTTGTAACTATTAAAAGCTGCTTTTAGCGAAGCAACTAAGACTGCCAACGAATATTATATATGCATTTCTTAGGGCCGTTTTCTGATGTAACCTTTAACTTTAAAGCTTACTTTATATTTAAAGGTTGGATTAAAAGTAAANATTATAAATTAGAGACACAAAATAAAATATTAACTTTTAAATAAAAACTTAGTGAACAAAAAATTTCTTAATTTTCCAGTAACCAATATTTGCCATAAATATCTTTAACTAATTAATTACTATAAAAACTAGTTTTGCTTGCAATAAAATGATGTGATTTTATATGCAACCTACCTTGTTTTAATTACAAATGTCATTTATTAGGATTCCGTTTACCATACCGGGTATTTAGTAAATGATTTAGCTATGTGTTAAAAGATGTTCTGCACATTATGCAGGCAAAACATCTCTTAGCCGAAAATTGGTTCGAGTTAGCGATAAGTAATAACTGATATGTAGTTGCATTTAAATATAATCCAACACCTATTATAAAAACCATTGATTAAAATTACCTCACATTATTAAGTGTTTTTGTGGATAGGTTACTCGGTTACTCTAGTTCTTAAGCCAACCCATGAATATGTATTTTACTCTTAGGGGAAGGCTTTTGCGGACGAAAATATTTGAATTTTTTCAAAAATAATTTCTATTCCTTCGTTAATTCGCAGGATAAAGTGTCCGCTAAAGTGATGTCTACTTAATCAAAAGATGCTATTTCCACTTTTTGGATTTTTTTTTTTAATTTTGTGGGTTAATATGTATGTATTATCTTCTGGCTCTTGCTTAAGATGTTGTCTGTCGCTCCTGCAATTACAAGCACGGCGGTCTCCGAAGCTGTTCGGTAGGAGCACTCTGTACGGAGTGCTTCCCATTTTTGCACATCTGCCATATGCTTGCGGTACCTTTCATGCCG